CCCTTCACTGTAATGAGGTAAGAGTTATAGTTTGCCCCGGAGCCAAAAAGCGCTGCCTGGAACACAAAGAGAGGAACACCTTGGAAATCTTGACCTGACAGCACAGAGCAAACTCTGGCTCTGATGTATTAAAACCCCTTTTATTAAAACAGTGTGTGGCAGGATAGCTGTCTGATGTTTCATTTTAGTAAGGCCCCCTGCGTCCCACCTGAAACCCATTTTACAACATCCACATACTAAACGTGTCTTTTGTGCCACATTTTGTCTCTTTCAAACCACACACTGCCTGTGGTCCCTGGTGCCTTATGTGGTGGTTTCACTGAAAGATAGGATTAAATTCCTGCTCAGTATAAGGGAAATGATTGAAAGATCATGAGACAATCTCAAACTTCAGGATCTCATTATCATGTTTCCTCAGATGGCATGTGAGGTGAGCTGGAGCTGCTGTGTCAGTTTGCATTCTTAAATAATGGCACCACCTTCAGGAAGAAGCCTGTAAATACACACATGTGTTGAGAAATAATTATCCTATATTCTGACACTGGGAGGAGGTGTTGCATCATGAGGATGTTTAAGTAAACAAGATTGTAAATTGTTACTGTGATGAATAATTTAAGAGTAAATGGAGTGGACTCTTCACATTAGGCACAAGTAAATAATGAAATGAAGAGTTTAAACAAAAAATAATGGCCAAGACTGCAATGAGGAAATTAGCAATTAGCAAAGTGCATAAAACCAGGAAGAGGTATGTGGTTGTTATCCCTACATGATGAAAAAAAAGAAATCACATACTGTATTAATGAACTGGTTCTTCAATTTGTCAGTTTTTTTAAAATAATTCACACGTCTGTTTTAAGTCTTTCACAATGAAAAAAAAAATTGTAAAAGAACTACTCTGAAAATGAGGGGAAAAGTCATTTTTGTTGAAGCCTGGAAAACAATGGCTCAAGACTACTGTTTCACAGAAAGTGTGCTTCATTTGAAGTGAAATGCAAAGAAATGAGGTGTGGCTCAAGTCTTTTACAGGTTATCGTATGCAGGGGGAAGTTGGTGGTTCTGCTGTGACATTAATCCAGGCCGAATATTACTGGTTATTTACCTAAATGACTAGTTACAATTATGCATGTCAGCTGTTTAAATAATTTAGGTTGGCCTGGTGCTGTGGATTCCGAACAGCCACCAAATTACATCAGGGACACTACAATGAGTGGGTCACTGTCTGACCCATAGCATGTCATGACCACATGGCTGTAATTATAATGATGGAAATTATACCCTAAGGACATTAACATTCTGCAAGAGCTACTTTATACCTATTAAGCATAATGGAATCTGACATTAGTTCGAGTGGTGATATTTGCAGTGGCTGAGAGGAAATGGGGTGAGCAACAAAGAACCCTACTAAGACGGAGGGGGCAAACAGAGGAGGAGCTGGACATTATCCAGATGCTCCAGCTTAACGTCGGAGGTTACTGTTAGGCCAGAGAATCCTCAAATAACCACCTCTGCCCGGAGAGTGCAATTAAAGTCGTCAAAATATTTTGCCTCGGTCCTGGCTGACAGACATGCTGTCAGAGCTGGTCATCGTTTGCAGAGATTATACCAGGTGGCCTCATGTCACCATTTGTTTGCCCAAGACTCATCCCAGATCCCTGCTGTGTTAATGTCACGAATCCAAGATGTGACAGCACTGGGTCCTGCAGCTAGTCGTTAATGAAAAGCCATTTAGCACTGAGCCTGGACTTGGTAAGTGATGCAGACAGTTGCCCTGCAGAGGACTGAAGAAAGCTGCTGCCTAATAAACTGTTTTCTAAATATGGTCTAAGACTTATTATTTTCCAATGTCTTTTTCTATACAGGAGATATATACATTTTGCCAGTTTTTTGTGGTTTGCGATGCATTAAACGTGAATAAATGTGAATTTGTTTGCACCAGGCATTTGATTTTGGAGCCTAAAACAGAGCAAAACATCACAACAATGAAGGCAAAAATAGTATAGGCTCTAATTTCTTTGAGTTTAGGTTGAAACCGTATGAATTGTGGCTAACCTTTTGTTGCCTTGTTTTGCTCCACACTGAGCAGCTTTCAAGAGAAGACAAACTAACTCAAATAAATGCATCAAGCAGAAACTTCAAAGTGTATGAAGAAGTTCTGGGCCAGGGTGAACTGGAGAGTTTTCTGATCTAAAATTGTGTAATTACACAGCTCAGATGAGAAATAGGACTTGTGTGATGGGGAGCATGCTTCATTTAGCCTTCCAAAAGAAAAAGTAAATAAGCTTTGGACTGCCGGCTCGGTCACTAACGGTCAATAAAAGTGTTTTTGCTTGATCTTGGACAAACAAAACTTTTTATATGCGGCTCTTATTTCTCCAGGCCATAGTGTTATTTTTGTAGAGCACAAAAAATTTAGTCCTCTGTGACCTTTATGGTGCACAACCCATTGGGTTTACGGACTATGTGGCCTAGAAGAATGTAGCCTATTTATTATAAGTACTTTCAGCTCAAAACTGATGGGCCAGCCATATGTTTAGTTCTACAATCCTGAGTACTCTGCCTCATATCCTCTGCCCACAGCACAGTGCCTCCTATTATTTTCTCCAGGAATCTGATGCCGGTTGGAATCATTTTTGGTTAGGACAGAAAAGCTCTTGGCAACACAAGGTGACCGCTGCCTAGCAGCACGGGCTGACGTGAATTGCGAATTTATGTTCTCCATTATAGAGCTGGAAAACACAAAGGTCATTGGAGCAAATTACTTTTGAAGTTTTTTTTAGTATGTCATGCAAATCTTCTTATGAAGAGTGAAGTTGGTAACTGGAGTCCTATTTTAAAATCACCTGGAGTCAAAGATATTTTCTTTTTACACTCTTTTTACACTAAGCGTTCAATCAATAGAATTTTCAAATAACCAGGAAACACTAACTCAAAAAGAAGGAAAAAAGAAACATTTAGACTATTTTCTCTCACTTAATTTTTGTATTTCTATTGGCCTGAATATATTATCTTATTTATCTTGAGCTGCCATCTGTCTCAGTCACTGGTTGATGTAAAACCTCCTGCTACCAGTATGTTAGTGTCAATCTCAGTATAGAAACTGTATTTTAAAACTGTGTCCAATTTCTATACTTGCTTCATTCTTTTGAGGGGTTGCAGAATTTCACCCCAGCAACACAGTGACAACCATGATGAACAACTCAAAGATCATGGTTTAGGGTTCCGTTTACAATATTTGAATGAATACTGGCAAAAGGCTGTCCCCAAGACCATCTCAACATCAGGCTGCAAAGGATCAAACACATAACAGCCATAAAGAGTCGTAAAAGCACTGAGACATAAATGTGTCACCCGAGTCTCTTTGTCTTCTGAACTCTGCCTTTAAAGGTGTTTTCTAAATCAGTGATATACAGGCACACTGTTATCAACTTTGAGCACACCTTGTTAATGGTCCACCCTGGATGATTGTGATGGTCTAGACACTACCTCACCCTTTTTGTTTGGAAGCCTTGTCTCACACTAATACTAAACATCGACTTTTCACCAGCCAATTTATGGTTTAAGATTCCAAAAATGGATCTGTGAGGACTTAAGTACATAAAAGCTAGGTCAAGTCTCATTTCTTGTGTCAGTGGACTGTGATTGTTGGCAGTTAAGAATACACAAATATTACCACCTTTTCACATTTTTAACTGTAATCTGTGGTCATGGATGCAGCAGCAAAGTGGCGAAAAATATGAAAGAAGTGGCACCCCAAAACATTTCTTTATCAGTCAGTTTTATCTGGCACATTTAGTGTAAAAGTGCATCGTGTAAGCTGTGTGAATCTCGCACATTGAAGGTTATCCCTGATCCAACGGAACTGTCAAACAAATGACAAATTCCTGTGAACGATGGCCATCTAATAAATGCTTATGCAGTTAGAGGAACCAAATCTCACCTAATCTGAAAGGTGTGCTGGGAAATTCACAGCACTGAGTCATTATTCTGAAGTTGCGACGCAAGAAGTTTCCAAGACCACTCCCACAGACACAAGCCCTCTCTAATCATCGCTAACTAGACAGTCCACGGTCCAGTTGGGCAACTTTAACAACCAGACCGGGGGGTTGTGGTTACACCCTGAAACTGACCACTGCCCACTCAAGCAAAGGTGATTCTTCCAAGTCAATGAACTGATCATTTCATGCAGGATTTAATGTAAGGTACATTGACACTGAGGTTATAGCCACGGAATAAGGACAATAATCATCCACATGAATGAGTAGAAATGGTCCTTTAAGAGAAATGCTACCCAAAACTGGGGTCCGTTGCAGTGTTTCCCAACCCCGGCCCTCAAGCCACTGGTCCATTGTTAACTCTCACCTTGCACTTTGGAGCATAAAAGTATTGTATTAATGTCGATTACCCTCAGAGGTTAAACAAAAAAAGATATGTAGACAACAGGTCCTTGAACACAGGCTCATAAAAGGCTGCAGCACCGTCTAACATGAGGAAAACGCACAGAATCAGTCACAAATAAAGGATCTGGATGGGTACCCTGTGATCTTTTGATGAGAGTCTGCAATGTCTGTCTTTATTTTAGCATATATTTGATCATTCATTTTGTATAGGCTACATATTTTATCTTTGAAAAATGCTAATAATTTCCACTTTGTCATTATTCTGTGCATACTTGTGCTTACTCACTAAGTGATTTGAATGACCACAGACGCACCCTGACCCTGACCCCTGGGACCTCTTGGCCTGTGCTGCCTTGGCTTCTTTGGGTATCCCTCCCTGGACTTTGCTTACAGGGTTAACCCTAACCCAGAACCACTGCCAGATGCCTCAAAGTGAAATGTGCCTTACATAATTGAGTGAAGCATCGGCAGATCAGATCAGATCAGATCCTTCAAACCTGGGATTTAGCCTCAACCTCCATTCCTATAGGTGTCACTATAGTCGAACATCCCCCTCCCTCCTTACTCACTCCTCCACCTCCTCCCTTCCAGCAAACCTCCGCGAAAAGGGTGTGCGTTTTGAAGGTTGTATGCAGCTATAACATCCCTGCTCGCAGCCACTTGGCCGGATAACCGAAGTCCAGCGTCAGGAGCCGGAGCTGAGCACGCCCCTGGTCCTCCCCCCACCCACCCCTCCGGTTCCCCCCCTTCTCAGCTCAGCTGACCCCAAGAACAAGGTTTTGTCCTCCGGGGCGCACGGTGGAGATGCCGCATACACGGATGTCAGTGTCAAGAAAGAAAGTTCAAACATTTCCACGGTGCATGGCAACATGCAACGGGCCAGCAGCGGAGTGGGTTTTCCTCAAGGTCAGTGTCTGAGAACCCGCCGCCTCCAGGACGACTTTTCTCTGGCCGTTGGAGGGGAAGAAGGGGCGAGGAAGGGATGCTGCTGTGTCTCTCTTTGCCTTCAGCGTCTACCGTCGCATCTTTGACCGAGTAGGACGTTGATGGTGATTGATAGGAGCGAGAGAGAGCTCGTGCGTAGCCAGATGGCGGGAGGCAGCCTCGGAGAAACTCTCCCTCAGCATCTTGGCGTTTCCTGCTTTCCTCCGGCAACGGTGCCGCTGTGTGCCCGAACACAGGCAACCACGGCCGGAGTCAAGCTAGCTAACCTCACCTGACAAGACAGAGCCGGTTTACGAGCGACCCAACCGACCGTTGGGGCCAAAATGTCCCTTAACTACAACAACACTACAGAGTTGTAACAAACTCAACTTCCTTGAACTCGTCTGTGTGTTCGAGACGGAACTTTCACGCCGAAATTCCTTTCGAATCACATAGCCTTTTTTTTTGGTGCTTTTTTTTTTGTTTTTTTGGACAACATGCATCTGAGGAGTTTGCCGGAGTTGGGGCTTCTCCTGCTGGCGGTGTTTGTGTTGCTGGAGGGCCCGGTGCCCTCGCTGGGAGCCTCCAACTGTAAGGAGACCGGCCACGGCGAGGGAGCGGACGGCGAGAGACATGGAGTGGGGAACCTCAACCGCACCAAGAAGCCTTTCCCCGTGCTCAGCCTCGAATACGACCACATCAAAACCCCCTTTGAAATATCGTTATGGGTGCTCCTGGCCTCTTTAATGAAATTAGGTGAGTACCCGGTGGATGCCGGCTATGGTAAGGCTGCCTCGGAGGCGTTCAGCCCGAACAGGAAGTGTTTTCTGTCGGAAAGGTGTGCTGAGGAGCCCTGGTTCATATGAGCCAAAACTGGCCCACAATGTTTCCTGAGAAATCTATTATCAGCATACTCAAATGTGTGGTTCGGCTTCTTCATATGAACACATATCAGTTTAGAGACTTTTTTTTTTTCTATCAGACTGCCCTTTGGAACAGAATTGCAGGGGAAGATGTTGTAGTTTGATAACAGTGTGCTTAATGGGGCGTTTAAGGATTGGGATTTCTTAAGCAGAAACCCCAAACAGGTTTAGAAGACAACGCTGCACCGAAAGCTGTTCTTGCCCCACATTTAAGTCACTTAACCTCTTGCTTGGACTCTGCATGAGATAAATTGTTACCAGTATGCCTGCGTGACGAGTTTGACTACATTGGCTCAGTTCAGGAAGTGAGAGGTCACCCATTCAATGCTGGACAGACAGATCTGACCAGCTCACCAGATCTGTCCCCTGTATTTGGTCAGGATCTTTCCGAGCCACGTGCTGCACAGGAGGGATGACAAAGCAGCTCGATTCAGCAGTCAAGATGTTGGAAAGTGTCCACAGTATGTGTGGTGTGACATCTGTGGCGTGCTGTTGTACAGCAATACCTTTCAGAATTGAAACACAGGGGCAGGATGTCTGGGTTCATTCAGCGCGGGATGAGGATGCCAGAGTTGTCTGGCTCAGCTTACTGCTGGTGTATCCTGTCTGTGTCTCCTGAACGCCGTCTTCTGTCTGCAGAACACTGCATTGTCTTCAGCTTTCTTTTTCTGAGAGCCAGCTCTCTGTCACTTGTTTGGGGACATCACCTGACAGAGCAGCAGGCTGTAGCCGGAGAGAGAACCGCTACTCTGTCTGGGCAAGAAGCCCAGCGTCTCAGGGGACAGGACTGGCAGAGAGGGGGGGGGGGGCACCTGCTTCGGTCAGGCCATTTGCAGAAGACATCTCAAGGACCTTAAATAAAAATGTGGGCATGGAACGAAACAGTGAATTAAGCAAAGTTAGAAAGAAGGCAAAAACGGACAATGGGGATTGTAAGCTTCTTATTGTGCCGGGACCCGTGGAAACGGGCGGCGGGTTTCAGTGGGGCAGCTGCACTGCTCAGGCTTGTGTGTGTGTCTGAGTCACGATCATAGACGGTCTATCTGGCAAATGTCCGAGCTAATCCACAATCCATTTATCTCTGTAGCAACTCCTGCCAGTGCACAGTGCTTTATCTCCCTTTATTTATTTCTGCTAGCACTTGTCTTGAATTAATTTCTCCCTTTGCCAAACCCTTCACTGTAAAACAAAACTAGGAGAGGAAGTTTAACCGAGTAGGCGTTCTAAAGGGGTAAACTCTTTTTCTGTGTCAATCAGCCTCAATGTGGGTTGTTGTAATTAGGTTACAGTCACGTTTTTATCCATTTAGGATCTGTAGGCCCTATTTGGGAGTGGAAGTGAACTTCATAATCCTCATAAAGTGATGGATGTGTCTTAACTTAGAATCAGGAAGCTGTAATTGCTTTCTGTTAGACATCATGTTATATCGGTAATGTGTAACATATAAACCGAAGCTCCTGTTAAGCAAGACTACACATGCTGACTCTAGTGGAATGTAATTACTGTAGCAGTTCAACAAAAGCTCATTAAAGGTGTACCAGGAACCCTGACCTATTGACCTTTTGGATTTCTTTCTGATAACAGTCACTGGCGGTAGAAAGGTGGACGCACCTTGTGGTACTTACAGGGATACCTGTGTAGCTGTTTGAGCCCCCTCCCTCCTGCTGAGGTAGTTGGAAAATGCCTGAAATTCCCACCCTCACCTTCTACATAACTCACAGCAAAGTTTAGAGCTGTGTGCCGCTCGATAAACGGATTCCTGGAGCGGCTGACATCTGTTTGCTCAGGCGCTGGACTGCGACCTGGGGCTTGGGTCTCAGTGTTGCTGAGAAAAGGGAGTGAACAGCTTTAGCTGTAAGGAGTGACTGTTGATTCAGAGGTGTTATTATTTTCTGCTGATGAAAGTCTTGATCCAGTCTTGTATTTAATTATTTTTAGCTTCTAAGACGCCACACTTTCTTATGAATCTTTTAGAGTGGGAATTAGTTGTCCAAACATTGTTTGGGTCTATTGAATAGTTTTTGCTGCTTTTTCTCTAATTTTCAGTCCAGTCCTGAGACTTGACCTTTTGACCTATGAAACATTCCAACCAGCAGAAGACACGTAACTGAAAGGATGAGATAGTGCTGCGGTTATGTCAGCAAATAAGATGATAAAGAAAATCATTTTGATTTTATATTTGTATTAACTTTTCTCAAAGAAAGCTTACACTACCTGAAGTATGCCAAAATACTAAAGCGGGACCTTAACATTAATGAGGCTGTGCGGTTGTTCAAAATGCAGCAACCATCCAAATAAAAGCTTTGGGACGTCCGTCAAGAAGCCCGAAGAATTACTCCCGCAGACTACTTAAGAAGTAGCAGAAAACTTGTCAGAGAAGGTTCAGAATCACAGAATATACAGACATTTATCTTTGCAATTTCCAATTAACGCCTGGGTCTTTCTCGCTAATATATAAAAGGAAAAGAGAAAATAGGGGTGGCTCAAAACCTCTGCACAGTTCTGTTTCTTTACTAATGTGAAGTTTAGACTTGAAACTTTTGAAACTTACAGACCTTGCATTGTGAAACATTTGTGTCAGTTCTTTAATGAAGTCAGTGGACAAACCCCCCCCCCAAAAGGTCGCTTATTTTTTGCCCTTTGTTTGGTAAGGAATTAAATCAGGTTTACATCAAGTAAAAGGACCCACATTCATTTTTTTTAAAAAGGTATTTCATCCTTAGGGAAGAATAGTTCGAGCCATTCCTGTAATTAAGATGAGCTGAGGAGGCTGAGAACTGGGATTAGTTCCACTGGGAAAGGGTTAGTGTTTAAGGGGTTGCGTTTTTAAAAATGTGAACAGAGAAATTTCCGGTTGGTCAGTGGAGGCAAAGGCACGGATTCAGTGTCTGTTAGTAACCACATCTCTGACAAACAGAGGAGAATGAAAGTCATGCTTTAGCTATCCCAAACATGGCTGTCACTTCGTGTCACCTCACATTCATTTAAAGTTACTGTTGCCTGTTTGGCAGTCTGAGTTTCACACTTGTCTGCTCTCATGACAAGACGTGACAGATTTGTTTATGCTGCTTTTGCTCGAGCGACTTGAAGGATTAGACCTTTGATTCTTTGGTGGTGCCTTTTAATGGTCGACAAACTGAATTCGATTCAAGCCTGTCTGCTGCAGCTCGCAGATTTTTTCTAAAGGGCTCCGAGGGTGACTTTCCTAAGGTATTCAGTACCGTACTTCATCTGTGGGGTTGGAGGAAAGCGGCGTCTTCTTGGAGGAAGTGCGTCCGACAGAGACCTGCCTGACCTGACAGATTGCTTTATCTACAGCAATCAGTTCAGATTAGTGATTACCGATTTTTGCATAATTCTTTGATCACAACTGTGCTAGTAGAGTTTGGTCTGAATTGTCTTCTACAGTCAACCAAGTATTGCATTAAAGCAAATTGCAGTGCCAGAATTTCTGCCCACGCCTTGACAGGGCATACGGCTCTTGATGAATAAATTCAGCTCAAGCAAATGTTTTGTATAATAATCAGCAAAGCCTCACAAAATATTGGCAGCAGGTTTGTCCTAATCTTTAACATCGATATGGGAAAGATGCCCGGTACAGGGCCACAAACCAGGTCCTTAACAAACAGTGCTCTGCTTATCTTTATTATGCTGTATGATAAAGGCAGGCCCCAGAAGATTTCCAGTTTACTTAACAAAAAGAAATGCCGATGTGCTGCTGATCGTAAAGATAAAGGTAATTAAATGTATTGGCCTTCACTTTAAAATTCCAATGTGTAAAATTAAGGCAATTTATTGCCAGATATTCGACCTAATGTTCACAAATATGTTCTCAGTTGTGTGGAAAGACAAAAAAAGTAGCTTTGGTTGTATTAACTTTAAACAAGCAGGCAAAAAATCCATGCACGGAGCAATGCCATGTCGCTGAGGCAGCCCTGAAGAGATAATCTAAACACTGGAATGGGTCTTTCCTGTTTTCTTTCAGCCACATTGTAGTTCGAGGGAAGACAGGAGATGTTGGTTATTTCCCACGCATCAGACCATAAGGAATATTACATTAACTAATATTAAATTGAGCCATTTTCAAAGCACGAGTCAACAACCAGGAATTTCAAAGTGCTTTTTGTAGGATTTTTGGTGTCATAAGCTGTGTTCCAATGAAAGGTAAGCTGGTAAAACCAGGCTGCACAGTGTCAACAGTAGGCAGCAGAACAGTTCTAAGTAAATAAATGAAGTTATTTCAATATAGACCTATGTAACAATTCAAATTTCAGCCTTTAGAAAAACAAGATTGCAAAGTTAAATGAATCTCATCACAGAACTTGGATTATTACGATCAGCTTTCCTGTAGTTTGCAGCATTCAATAAGAAGAATGCATAGTCCTCGTATATATGCGTGCATTCCGTTGAGAAGGTGAGTGAGAGTTCATCATCGGTGTTCCTGGGTTGCTTTTAGAAAGCGCTGGGATATCGCAACCTGGACAAATGTGACGCCCTCAGGGTTGGTTTGTCTGTCGATTCAGTCTTTAAGTCCTTTTTCTTTGTGTAAAAGGTGAATTTGATCCATTTTCTTTGTGATGTATCTGAAGGATCAACGCAGCTCCTGTCACAACCTTTTTTCAGAAATGCATCACGGTGTGACCAAGGGAAGCTGCTAGTGTGTTTGTGCGGGTCTGCAACCAGGGATGGTCCTCAAATGCTCCAACACCAGGCCCTAATGAATCATTTAAACCCCTAATGGTCTTGCACCACTGAAGGTGCATAATAGTCTGCTTCAAATAATCAAACAGTGACTCACAGCTGCTGAGTTTTTACCCCACACTGGCCATGAATCCGGCCTGAATCGCCTCAAAGCTCATCGTTTTTTCACAAGCTTTCAGAGAACACTGGCCGTGTTGGAGAGCGGGTCAGTCAGTGGAACGTCACCACAGTTAAGACAGAAAAAAAAGAGAAGAAAATCGGATGAACGTGTGATGAGTCATCGCCTTTGGACGGTGAGCTGTTGAAAAGGCTTTCGCTCTTTTGTGCAGGCCGGTTGATGCAGTCATCAGTGGTGCACAATTAGTCGCCTGGCAACGCGACGCCGTTGCTGGCTTTGAGAGTGACCAGCGGTGGGTACACCTGCAGACAGAAAGAGCCGTCCCCCCTTGCCAGTGCTCAGGAACACTGCTGAGTAAAGGCTCTCTGGAGGGACACGCACGCGGCTACCGCTGTTGAAGAGCGGCCATGACGGGCAGCAAGATCTCTTTTAGGAGCGTGTAATTAAAAAACACAAAAGATACACACGCATATTACATTTTTTGGCAGCATTCATTTCTTACTGGTGTATATCTCCCACATGCACACATCCTGATTACACTGCAGAAAGTGCCCCGCTTTGAAGTTAATCTCCCTCTCTTTCATTATCTAATCTTCAGTGATAGAGTTTTATTTCTTGATGATGACCGCAGCTCTGATCTAAGGGTGCCAGACTGGAGCCATCGCTGCAACAGGGATTTCAGGGTGTGATGGGTCCTTCCCTTAACCCTCTGTCACAGGGCCAGGATGTGTTCAAAGTTTTCCATTGAAAGGTGTCCTGATTTATGGTGGAGTGTCTTTTTGTCCCTGCCCTCACTGGTCCCTTTTTGATAATTCGTGAACTATATTAGATCAATTAGATTTTCGATATCAGATCAATACTAGGTTTAAAATCAACTCCAGTAACTGATGGTGATACATTTTACCATCTAGCCATGAGCTACTTGCCTTTTTCCTCCTGGACTAACATTGCCTTCGGACGTCTTTCTGTGTAGTTTGGAAATGTTTTTTCACAATTATGTCCTTTTTCCGATTATTCAACTTAACTCTGGACCTTATAACATATTTAAGAATTTAAATGTGGATGGAATAAAAATGAAAAAGTGGTCCACTGTTTTAAAGCATTTTCATGCAAAAGCTGTGTGCATATTCAGATTCGACTATCAGTCTCTTCTTGTTTGATTTAAAACCAACTATTTTCTATTTATGGATTATGATCCAGGGAGAAAAAGTACCCTCATCCCCTGATAATGAACACCAGTCTCAGGAATGTTTTACACAAGGGATCTTTAGAGTGCTTGTATTCTAATAATAATGCTGCTTGGTTTCCCACACCACGCTCTGGATTCATAAAACAGGAGTCTTTTTGGTGGAGGTTTGAAAGAGTGCACGTGGCCACGTTAATTTTCACGGAAGGGTAAAATGAGATGCTCATTCAGATGCTACAGAGGCCACTTTCAGGTTGGACAGGGTTAGAATGAAAGAAAAACTTCCGTGAGCACCATTGAACGTAAGCATGTGTTTCCTGTCGAGCGGTTCTTTTAAATGAAGAGTCGGGTTTCTTAGAAACTTTCCATTGCACAGCCTGTGAGCTGTCATGACTCCCAGGATAAAATATCTTTGACTCTTCTTCTCCTTGTCGGCAGATATTTCTTTTTTTGTCTCCTGGCATCTTGCGTCCATCTTTCAGTCGGTCAGTTAAATGTTATTGTTCAGCACGTTTAAAAAAAAAGTTTATTGAATTCCAGTTGCTCAAATTGGAATAATCAAAATAACTTATGGTTGGTTATTTCATTTATAAGAAAAACAAATTCAGTTGTCCGAACTCTCAGAGACTATTTTTTACTCAAATTCTACCAGGGGCATCATCTCAGAGGGGGGCCTGTCCCTTTCTATTGGTTTTTGTTCACTTGATATCCACTTAGATTCTCTGGACGTGATTAGGCCCCTTTCAGGCCCCGCACTGAGACGTCTAACACATTTAGACGTGACTTTGTGATTGCGTAACGTCGTCTTCGGAAGATGAGAGGCTGTGAACATGGAGGTGCTAATTTGTCTTGGCTGTAGTGAGCAGAGTGGTGCTGTCTTCTGAAGACGGTTTAAGCTGCGGATAGGTTCAGAACAAGATGTAGAATTTCACACCTTTCCCACCACAAATTCCTCTCCGGGAAGCTGGATGAGCTGTCTCTTTATTGGGTCAGGCAGTTGTCACGGGATGGCTTTGTCCACCCACCTGGCTGCTCAGACCCCGGGGATTTGAACTAAGTTATGTGAAAGAACACAAGTACTCGTTTCCAGGCATTGCTTAGTTTGGAAACCGCGGTCTCCTTTGAGCCTATAAGATAAAGTTTACCTCAGTTTCTTTCCTCTGAGCTCCAAACATGCAGCTGCATGCAGCTGTGAAACCCACAGACAAGCTCTTGTTGAGCTTGTGTTGTGAAACACTGACTGGGTTGTATTGAAGCGGTCCAAGCATTAAACACCACCACCAAAGATGTCATCTTTTCACCTCTCTGCACACGGGGGGGAGTACCCCCGCCCCCGCCCCAGGCTCTGGTTCCAGATGGTGCTTCCGTAACTGGGCCATCCATTCCCGTCCCAAAATCCTCAACATTTGTAGCTTTGATCTTTACTTAAATATGAACATGTGCTGCCGGGGATGCTTTTATATATGTTCAGTTTCTGAGGGTTAACATTGTTAATTCAGCCTGAAAGTACAGGTGTGAGCCACGTGTTCTTATATTGAGTTGTGTGTGCCATTTTCTACAAATTTTATGGCTTGAAAACATTAGCCAATGTCTCAAAAGCTAAGCATTGGCTTTTAAAAAAAAGTCACCAGCCTCTCTCAGAGCGGGGTAAGGGCAGTTATAACACTGTAGTAAGCATTCAGGTCCAACTCTATGCAGCATTTTCTATGCGACGTGCATGGAATGCAACCTCCCTGGTAACCTGCAGTGTCCTGTTCAGGGGTAGAGCGGTGTGCTGTGAAATACTTTAGTCCTAACGTGAGCTTGACCGGCCACCTGTGTATGCTTTGCGTGGCGCTGCCGGTGCTCCGTGGGGATATTTGTTACATGGCGACCTACAACGTGACACGGCCCTGTTCTGCCGCCGTGTACAGTAAATATAGCAGCGGATACACTGCGCATCGCCGTCCCTTTGAAGCCCTCCTCCCCGCCTTTTGTTTATTGTAATCTGAAGCCTGTAGTAGAGTTGTCAGCTCTGTGTGTTTCCAGCCCGGAGCGAGCTTTTTGTTTCCCGGGGAATTCAGAGTCTCACAGATAGACTTTTAACGTCTTTCTGTTTGTGAGCTCTCAGTGCTGGCTGAGGCAGCCTGGGGACTCACAGCAGAGCTGCTTTTTCATGTGCGCTCTGGTGCTTTAAGCAACAGCATTTGATTGTGAAAGAGGGTTTTTGTGGAACGGCATTAAAACTGGATTAGCTCCTGATTCAAATATACTACGGTAATTAAAATACAGGGATTACATAGAATGATGTCACTTCTCTGGTATCTCCTTCCATAAATGCAGGCTCGTGGCACATCTGTTATGATTCCTGCTTTAAATTTGTGATCTCTCCCCAGTAAATGTTTTACATCTCTTTTAAGACGTCAGAAGGTCTTCGCCGTAGTGTCAGAGCTGACCTTAACCAGCCTCCACACCACAGAGGAGCAGTTCTGCCGCCGCAGGAGCTGAAACGAGCAAATATGAACGGGCACGCTCTGACACGTCTGCAGAGAATATACAGACGAGTTTGTCTTTTGCATTTCCTTGGAACATGATCAGTTCTACATACTGACGTTTTCTCTGGAAATAAATAAGTGAATAAGTGTCTGCTGAGTAGCTTAGCCTTCCTTTTTTTCAACCTGAATCTCAGCCCCCACAGAGTAGCAATCTGCTGCAACAGTTGGACGTTGTTGCACCTCGGTGATGACATCGTCGCCGAGGTGTTGGGTGGCACAACCGACTGCCGGTGCAGCAATAAGGCTATCTTTTGCCTTATTGACATTCACTAAGGGTGAAAATTGATTTGAACACCTCCCAATAATGTCTGTCTGTTTGGCATTTCCCGCCAAATCTTCATCAGTGGTCCAAGTAAACATTCCAACTTATGTGTTGAAAAAATACAATAACTGTCTTTATTTGAGGTGAAGTTTAAACAAGGCTTGGACACTGAGATCTAGTGGTTCGGGGTTGAGCTCCTCGTGCGGCCGTCCAGCAGCTCAGCCCTTCTGCTCAAACTCTGTCTGACACGAGAAGCTCGATTGATTCAAACTCACACTGTCACGCTTCATTTGAAGTGAATCCTTTCCTCATTCTTGTCCTTTCCACTCCTTCTCCCAGGGTTCCACCTGATTCCTCGTCTGTCTGGCATCGTGCCGGAGAGCTGCCTGCTGATCGTGGTGGGCCTGCTCGTCGGCGGGCTCATCAGACTAGCTGGAGAGGATGTTCCCCCAGTGCTGGACTCTAAACTGTTCTTCCTCTGCCTGCTACCCCCCATCATCCTGGATGCCGGCTACTTTTTGCCCATCCGTCCCTTCATGGAGAATCTCGGTACAATCTTGATGTTTGCTGTTGTGGGGACTTTGTGGAATGCCTTCTTCATTGGGGGTCTGCTGTATGCTGTGTGTCAGATCACAGCAGTCAAACTCAGCCACATAGAGCTTCTGCCTTGCCTGCTGTTTGGCTCCGTCATCTCGGCCGTGGACCCTGTCGCTGTGCTTGCCGTGTTTGAGGAGATTCACATCAATGAGCTGCTGCACATCCTGGTGTTTGGCGAGTCGCTTCTCAATGATGCTGTCACTGTGGTGAGTGATCGAGACTGGGGATGAAAGTCAGGGGGCAGGAAAGCACCACAGCGACCAGCACTCACCTTCACCCACGCCAGTTAAATGTTTCCACTGACGCTTAATCTCAGACCTTCTTTCCAGGTCACATGTTGATTCAACTCTGGACACCAATGAGTCAGTCTCTGTCCTTGAGCTGTATTTCTGATCCGGGGTGACATTTACCTATTTTTAGTTATGTATACGGGTACTTTAGCCCCTCAATAGGCCAAATAAACTTCACTAATTGTTTACGTCACAGGACACACAGTCAGGAACTATTTAAGATCAAAGTCTAACTTTTGTAACATTTTGAAGGCTTTCCTCATCATTTCCAAAAGTAGATTTACCATTAGATTTAATGCTAATGTTTTGAATGGATTCATTTCTTGCTGAACGCTCCTCTCACCTCTCTGCTGTTCTCATCCCAGGTGCTCTACCACCTTTTTGAGGAGTATACAGTCGTGGAGACAGTGACTGTGTTGGACGGCGTCCTGGGAGTTATCTCCTTCCTTGTGGTCGCGCTGGGAGGCGTTCTCGTAGGAGCCATCTACGGAATCCTGGCTGCCTTCACCTCTCGCTTCACGTCCCACACGCGTGTCATCGAGCCACTTTTTGTCTTCGTGTACAGCTACATGGCCTACCTGTCAGCTGAGGTGTTCCACCTCTCGGGCATCATGGCGTAAGCTCGGGGCAGGGGGGGTCACAAAGATACATGACCAGAGAATAATGTCAAAGGACCCTGTCCCCATTTCTAAAGTGGGGTGTTTCCTTTTTATACTACTTTAGATACTTAAATTAATCCTGAATAACTCCACTGTAATCATGAATGATTAATGTTTCAGTAATTTACATCATGGATAATCTGTTGTGATGAATCCAAAGTGATATACACTTAGAATAGAGTGGAAATGAGAATGATTGCGTTTCTGCCACTTTTCTTTTCTTATTACATTAAACCAGAAGGCACAAACTGACACTGGTACCAGATGGAGCCTTTTTCATTCCCACTGCTGTGTTTCCTGTTTGCTCGGCAGAGAAATCAGTTGATAGCAATCTGGAGTTTGTGCAGCTAAGAGTCCTCACATCACAGAGTGGACCTTTAGCTTTAGCTTTTTTTTCTAACCATGACCAACCTATAGTCCAGACCACAAACACCAATTAAGGACATCAAAGTTTTGATATTTATAATGTTGACGAAAATCTCTCATATTTTCTGAAGATGGTCACTTTCCTTTAGGCAGAATGACTTAAAAAAATTCTGTAAATCTTGATCCAGTATAAAAAATGTACTAAAGGTGGCAGTAAACTTCTTTTTCATTTGCACTGTGGAAAATAACACACTGTATACCCACTGGTATAATGAATCAATGTGATCTAAAGCTGCCTGAGCCAAACCTGGATTTATTGATATTTCAACATTTTCTGAGGGAGCATTTCATCAGCTGCTTCCTGGTTTAGGTTGTTGATGGTGCTGACAGTCTGCTGATGTATTAAGTCTGTCCCCGGTGTCAGACTAATTTAGCTTCAAGGATAATCTTTTTTTTGCTTGCTGCAGTGGCCTGGTTGCATCTCACATAAAGTCTGGTTTTGGGTTTTCACTTAATTCCTTATGAAAAAGGAATGAAGTAACATACTTGGCTGAATTCCTTTCATAATTTCTTCACTAGAAGTGTTGAATGACTCTAGAGTGAAGGGGAAAGCTGTCATTAGGAAAGGGATGGAGATGTGTTTGCAAGCATAATGACTTTTCATAATCAGTGTCAATCTCCAGTTAAGCAATCACATGACTTCCTGAGAAAAAACAAGGCTCATGTTGCCTTTATATTAGTAATCTCCATTAAAAACAACGCGCCTCCTTATTTTGTTTGTGAACAATAAGTTGATTCCGACAGCTCTTCTTTTTCTATTAAAATGTGTTAGTTTTACTCATTTAGTGTATTTCGTTATCTTATCATATCTTCTTTTCTCGTAGGTTGATAGCATGTGGAGCTGTAATGCGACCCTATGTGGAGGCTAACATATCACACAAGTCCCACACAACCATAAAGTACTTCCTGAAAATGTGGAGCAGCGTCAGTGAGACGTTAATCTTCATCTTTCTCGGCGTGGCTACGGTGGACGGGGATCACTCCTGGAACTGGACCTTCGTCACTGTCACAGTCATACTGTGTCTGGTTGCACGGGTCATAGGTCAGCTCCACTTGTCACCGCTTCCTTTGAAAATACACCTGCCCCATGTCCGAGTTTCAGAGGGTCTTTCTTTTTTTAGGCCATTGTTAGTTAACGCCCAGATTCTTAAAACTTAAAATCAAACACGTTTCTGTAGTATCTCCAAAGTTTAAGAGCAGTTTTATATTTTTATAAAAGAACATGAACCTATTAGCGCATAGAGAGATTCATGCTGGCATAAAGGGGCTTCACTCTCAAAAAAAGAAAAGGGATGACTTACAGAGTGTTTACAGCATGTTTCATCAGACAGCCTTTGTGTGAGAGGAAGCACAGCTGAGGATTTCATTGTTGTTAGCAAAATGTCACAAGTCACAAGCCCTCAGCTGATGATTTGGCAGACTGCTGTTGTTTAGAGAACTGGAAAATGAAGAAGTAGTGTGGAATGTGGTGAATCAAGTGGTGTAGAATTGATTTTAGTGTTCAAATCCCATGTAAGTTCATGTTTTTGTAAATCCCAATGCATTGTTTAGTTTGGTCCTTTTATTCACTCTCTCTCCATTTGTGGGACTTTCCTTGAAAGACATATACACTTTTTTCTAAACAGTAGGAAAATTGATCCGTTTGATTACTAATAACTGTTTTGAACCTTCTTTTCATCAGGTGTGGTTGGATTGACCTACATAATCAACAAGTTCCGCATTGTCAAACTGACCACCAAGGATCAGTTCATCATTGCCTATGGTGGACTGAGAGGAGCCATTGCCTTTTCCCTCGGCTTCCTGTTGGATAAGGATCACTTCCCCATGAGACAGATTTTCCTCACTGCCATAATCACAGTGATCTTCTTCACAGTCTTTGTACAGGTATGGCTGCAGAGCTGAACTCCCATTTGATGTTTTAAAATCACATTGATTGGAAAAGACCTGTTGGAAGTTTAATATATATACATTATTTAAGTTAATCTAAAGTAGATTACCCATTTAAAAAGCTTCTATCATGTATAAACACATGGTTTTTCACATGAGGTTTTTCAATGACTTGCCTTTAGTGAAGTAAATTTGCATCTAATGTATGTAGTTTGAATATTTCCATGGACCATGGTTAGAATTTCAGTTGGTCACTGGAGCTGACATTATTTTCTTTATTCTCTGGTTCAAGGAAGTATGAGCATAAAGAGTTTTGGAAACATTTGTGTTTCCAGACTATCCTCCTTTCATATAACTGATCAAAAAACTGGATTTTGCCACTTTGATTTGAGTGTTTCCTTATTTAACTATTCAAACATCAAGTTCAGCATTTTACTGACAGAAGTTTTTGCCTTTGAATCAGCCTGCTTTAATTGACTGAGAACTTACAAACAGGCATGCTGTTCTTATCCAAAAAGACAAACATATTGAGTTTAAAGGGCTCAGACTATAACCTGCTACAGTGGAACAACCAGCAGTATCACAGACCTGCTCATGTTTATCATTCTAATGGTAATACATAAAGGCTTATTCTTGTGAATGCATTTCCACCAAAACTCAGTTAATGAAGGTGATGACATTGCCTGCGATTGCAGCAATTGAACTCTTAGCAAACATGTAACTTGCAACTTGTCTTTGGACTGAAAAATCTTTTTTTTTCTCATTTGTCCTTTATATCAGGATCATTGTCTTTGTTGAAAATAGCGCGAGGATATATGAGAAGCAGTTTACTTTTCAAACATCTCATTAAAGAACTGATCCTTTTGTTATCCACCCTGTGCCAGTGACAGTTATCCAGACGGTTGGTTTAATCTTATCAAGTGAAATGATACACTCAGGTTTTTATGTTCTCACTGGAACAAGCACACACACACCCATAATGGTGTAATCCTTCCTTGGCTAGGACTCCAGTGTCTGATTTTAAAGTAACCTGGGTTCAGACTCAGATTTAACAGATTGTATAATTTCCATTCTTATTGGTGTATACCCAAAATCATGTCATGTGTTAAAGAAACACAACTTTTTAATATTCATTAACCGATTCTAAGTGAACTACTGCAAATTCCTCAGAGCAAAAACTTCCTTTAACACTTTAATGCTGAATTGTTATGACTTCTTAATTCAAATTTTCACAGAGGTTTACGGACATGTGTCCGGACTTGATATTCCATGTACAGATCACATTCTCTTGTAGATGCTGATACTGGAGCAACCTTTCTGCTTCCTAAACCAACATAAAATAATTATATAGAGCAAATAGGAGTGATGTCAGGAATTAGATATTCATATGAAAGAAAAGCAGCTTGCAGCTTTGTTGTTTAGAGATTTTAGATGTACAGATACACCAGCTCTCATTTTTTGTAGGGTTTTTTTAGAGTACAAGTTAGAAATATTTGGAAACATTGTTTAGGTGAATTGAAAAAGAAAAGGGTTAAGGTGCGATACATTTGAGCTCTCACTTGATGTGAGCTGGGCAGGTGTGACCTGACACCATTCAGGGAGCGGCTGGAATGCTTAAGGTCCCTGACATACATAAAAACAATAAAACCACTACAGATTACAGTTTTAAAGCACTTACAACTCCCAGGTGATAAGAAGTCGGGTCTATTTTTAGCCAAGGCCAGTAGGTGTTTATTCTGATTAATGCTGGGTTCTTTATCTCCGTAAAGGGCATGACCATCAAACCGCTGGTGGAGCTGCTGGCGGTCAAGAAGAAACAGGAAGCCAAGCGCTCTATTAATGAGGAGATCCACACCCAGGTACGACCTGTCTGAAGACATTATCTGTTCTCACATTGTGTGCTTAGAAGCAGCCAGGAACCTTTCACTGTGCGGCTGACATCTGACATGTTGGATCAATGTGTTCACCCACAGAAATATCCCTGCATGAATACGTTAAACACAGACAGGAAACGCGGAAAAGTCTACTCGCTCCATTTTTCAAGAAGCTCTGTGGTGGTGACAGTTCATCCTCAGATCATCAGTAGCATCCCCAACAAAGCAATTCCTTACATTAGATCGTAAAAAGGAGCAAGAATAAAAAACTGTGTGATTGATTGATAGGGGCTGCACCTGAAAATAACTCCCAGTAGGAGTTTTCCGGAATATGTGGAAACATGTTTTCTTCATTTCTTATTAAAAAGCCTCTGAGGCCATTTAGCCCGTTATCAGATTCTGATCTTTGCCTCCACCCACTGGCCTTATGGCAGTACTTCATAGTTAGGGGTACAGCTGGCAATTTCCGAAATTAAGAACATATTTTTTTCTTTCTTCTTTTGGCTGTAAAACAGAAGCTAGCAACAGCCTGGCTGTCTGTTACAGACTTTCTGGTGTCTCTAAGCTTTAGTGTTATGAAAATGTCTCCACAGTGGTCCTCGGAGACCTATATACACACACACACACACACACACACACACACACACACACACACACACACACACA